GAGGCCAGAGACGTACCAGCCTTTGAGCGCTGCGAGTGCCAGTATGGTGCGAACGGTTTCGAAGCGCACTACTGGGGAGAAGACTTCGGAGAAGTCGATGCCTTCGCGCTGGGAAAAACCCTTAGCGACCAGGCGTGCCTTTCGGCGGCCATCTGTTTTTATGTCGAATACCCATCGACACCTGATCACCCTACGACCGGGCGGCAGGTCAACTTCCGTGAAGACACCCCGTCGGACAAGAGCTTCAATCTCGTCACGACAAGCCTGCAACCAGGCTTCCGACTCCTCGGCGGGTAATGATATTATGTCTTCATACTTCCATTCCCTCACGTTTGCGAGGTCTGGTCCAAGTTGCGTGGACGCTGCGTACGCGTGTAAGAGCATACGATCCACGAACTTTGCTGCTGCTTCCTTCGCCGAAGCGATGTGCGCCGCTGCGTTTCGCATTAACGCGTGCGGAAGGGGTTCTAATTCCCTTGATGCGAGGGCCATGAGTGAGGTGGGGCCATCGTCGTGGTCATCAGGCGTCGGGTTTCTATGCCTCTGCCAGAGGTTTTTGAAACGTTCCTGCATCTGTTCGACCTCCTCTATGGTAAGATTCGGATCGACAGGCGTCAAAACGTCAGATTCGAGGCGAATGCCTGTCTTCTGCCATTTTGCCGGCGGGCGCGCGTCTTCACTGTCTCTGAGAAGATCGTGCTCCCGCTCCACAGGGTTACCGCGTAAGCGCTTGTAGACCGTACCCTCTAATCGTTGGTTGATATTCCTCAATCTCTCTACCGGGTTGCGTCCCGGTATAGCGTTGTTGGGATCCTCGATCGGTATCCTCGTTCGCCCAGACCTCCGTATCTCGATTGGCGCCGGTCCGGCAGGATAGACAATTCGAGGGTCTAGATCCACCCTTGGTCCGCGATGCGGTGGACGCAAGTCGCGTTCCAACGGAGCTGGCTCTTCGTCAGGATCCGGCAGAAGATCTTGTTGTTCCCTTCGTGAGGGGTCATCTGCTGGTGGATTCTGGTACAATCCCTCATACTCGTCGTCGTCGAGATTGCCTTCACCGTATTCCGGTTCCAGCTCTCTCTCCAACTGCGCGTAATCATCCTCGTCGAAATCCTCGACCTTAGGCTGTTGCCTTTTGCGCTTCTCGTCTGGAGTGTCTGACCTTGGCGTTGGAGGCGGGCTTGGGCTTCGCCGCCCGTCGGCAGGTCCACCGTTGCCACCTTGATTAGGAAACATGTCGGCAGGAGACGATGGTCGGTCGTCATCCGAACCAGAAGGACTGTTGTCATTGATGGGAAACTTAGGTGGTAGTAGCTCATCCACCTCTGGTAAGCGCGTAAAGCGCTTGGTGTTCCGTTGCCAGAACATGGTACGCTTCGGAAAAGTCTGCTCATCGAACGTTGCGTTAACAGCGACCCGTAGTCTCCATTCTCCGGTTAGGAACAGTCTCCCGTTCCCTGCCGGTGACTCCCCGACGTAGATACACGCCTGGGATCTTGGAACAAGCTTGTTGGCTCGTTCCTCAGGAGTTAGGTACACGTATGCCAGACATCCGAAAACACGCAAGTAATCGACGCGGGGTTTTACACCCTCCACAATCTCATACGGCGTTTTCCAGCGCATACTCTGCGCCGCTTTCGGACGACTCATGGGTGTTCTATTGTAGACGTGACATGCGTGCTCGATGGCGAAGTTCCATAGGAACGGCGGCAAACTGGCGTTATGCAGCATTGACATAGCTTTTTCGTCTAAGGTGCGAATAATCCGTTCCGCACGGCCGTTGGTTTCATGGTTGTACGGCGTTGATTGGAGGATGCGAATGCCACGCGATTCTAAACTTTTGGTAAAGGCTCGCGATTTGAACTCTCCCCCTGCATCGCTCATCCACATCCGAATCGTTTTGTGGTACTGATTCAGCAGCATGCTAAACCAGGTCTCTACGGCTTGCTGGACCTCGCTCTTCCGACTGAGGAGCATGACCCATGCGTAGGACGTGCAATCATCCATGAGGACAAGTGCGTATGATTTTTTATTCCACGACTCGACTGCGAACTCTTTGAGATCGGCATGGATTAATCCAAGGAACTCATTGCTGCGATGTTCGTTGGT